CTCATCCTGATTCGGGGTATGATGTTGGTTTCTAACCTCCAAATACTGTTCAAACGGGACCAAAGGGTATCCATCGTGGTTGAAATTCAACCAGACCGAGGGCTTAAACACTCTGGACTGCATTTTTGCGAGATAATACTCGACTCTAGTGCAGTGTTAACCATACCTAGTTCTACGCTCTGCTCTGCTCTGCTCTGCTCCGCTCTGCGTTGCGTATCTAGGTACCTAAGGTAGGGAGTATTGACGGAGAGATGGGTTTTCAGCTGTACCCCACTTTGAATACCTGTTATTCAGCTCTAGAGGATGAATGGCTGATCGGTCGCAACCAATATTACTATCGTGTTCATAATCATGCTGGAATTCTTTTTACCAATAATGATTGAGCTGGGTTTCCTCACTAGTTCTAGGCTTTAAGGTGGCTAGAAAATTGTGCGTAGGGTTGTTTTGGGTAACTAGGTACCTACTGTATCTTAAGAGGCTCTTCAATAGATCGGCCCATCTGGTCTAAGGTCGGTGGGAGGATAAGTCATAACAAGGTAAACATACTTTAAAGCAAAGCTTACATTTTCATTCCAGCCGCAAATATAGCTTTATAGCACTCCATCGAGAAGATTTCTTCTGAAATGGGGTCGTCTTCAGACAAGAATTCCGACTCCTCGAGTTCGGTCCAAAACTCAAAGCTCATCTTTTCTGCTTCGTTTTCCAGTCTCAGAGACAGCGTTATCGACTTAAGCTCTGTTGCCACCATATTTCGTCATCGGCTCATTGATATGAACGCGTTTTTGAATGACCGTCGACTCGATATATACGAATATCCCTCTAGCTTAACTAGCGATAGATACGTCGCCGTCTCCTACGTCTGGAGAGGGAACCCGCTAGTTACTGACCCTTCCAGCCCTTCGTACTGGGTTGAAGAGCTTGGTACTTTCAATGTCAAGGGCGCCGAGACCGGTGACCCGATCAGTCTCGACGTCCTCTACCATGTGTGTTCTGCTGCGCTCTCTTGTAGTTATAGCGGGTCGCATCTCTGGCTAGATCGCCTCTGCATCCTCCAATCATCAAAAAAAGACAAGGCGTGGCAGATCAGACGGATGCACGATATATACAAGCATAGTAAAATATGCTGCATACTACCCGGAGGAATACAGCGGCTAGTCAGCCTCGACGAAGAGACAGCATGGATCGAACGGGCGTGGACGCTGCAGGAGGCACTTCTCCCCTGGCGAGCAATTGTACTATTTCTAGCCGATGAAGATCGACTCGAACAGTTAGACAATGCAAGGAAGAAAAATGCCATACCCTCTTTCGTTACCGAAATTTTTCCTGGTCTTTCTGCTTACGGCGAGCTTCGCCCGCTACTCCAACTGTCTATGACTGGCGCTACTAGTATCTTTGGTCGCAGGCGGGCGCCTATTTCTGCGCTTTACGGGGCTGTAGTTCAGCAGAACACGCATTCCTTTATAGAAAAGGATATGAAGATGCAGATGATATGGTTCTGCGCTTTAATGCGTACTTCTTCTCGTCCCGTCGATATGGTCTTCAGTATCATGGGCCTAATCGGGGTCGACTTAGACCCGCTCCAATTCGATAAGAATGACCGTGTCAAGGCGACCATTGCTTTAGCAAGCAAGTCGATATCTTACATAGGCACAAAGGCAAACTGGTTAGCAGCCGCTTATCAGCTTGAGCCCTGTCGCCAGATATCTTCGTTTCCTCTGTTTCCGAAAACAAGCGTCGATGGCCAAGCGTTTTACGGTAATGCCGACCTACCACCGCCATATCGATCTTCGACTACTGGTGGCAAGTTGTTGGCAGATGTTGTAGAGGAGCGATGTGATTTTAATTGCTGGCTATCAGGGTTACCAGAAGGGGAAATGGACGAAGATGGATACTTGACATTTTGTAGCAAGGCTGTTAAGCTTGTTCCTATCCTCGTGGAGGCGACGATATCTATAGAAGTTCACATACGCAATGCCAGCAATACCAAGGAACCTCGCTCCGGTAAGGCTACATCAGAAGACTACGTTCGAGCTGAGGATGGTACAATATGGCGGGTATCTAACGATACAAAAGGAGAGAATGATACCTCGGCTGCTTGTGCAATGGCTGTATTCTTGGGAACGCAAATGGGTGGCGCCATGGGAGACTTTAACAAAGAAGGAAGTGAGGGCGATAGTGATGATGACGATTTGGACTGGCGTGAACGCTGGAGTGCTGAGCGCATCCGGAGACGCCGTACGGACATTGCATTACTTGTGCAAGAGCATAGCCCGGGAAGATTCAATAGAATATCCTATTTCAAAGTAAAAGGTGGGTTTGATAATAAGTTTCCAGACTCTCGTGAAATGACTATTTCACTTGGCGGGCCGAACTAGATAGAAGAAAAAGATGAGGAAAAGATGAGGAAAAGATGAGGAAAAGATGAGGAAAAGATGATAGTGAATTATTTTGAATATTATACATATCTTTCTTTACAGGGGATAAGGTTACCTGAAGGTGTAATGTTACAGGTACCTAGAGTCCTGTACGTCATGTAACAACAGTACCTAAGGTACCTAAACTAACTGTACCTACCCAGGCTACTAGATCATCAACCCGCCTTAGGCCCTGTGGTGCGGATACATTTAGGGTCCAAAAATATCCGGCCCACTCGAAATTCGCACCAAAAACAGCCATTTTGCTACTTTGTCACTCTGCGATATCTTAACCGGTAAAAATGATACAAATAATACTTTGATACTATTCTGTAGGGATTTTAGTTAGATATATCTTTTGTATATAAAGGCTTTTGATGCACTTAAGATTTGTAAAGCTATCACAGTTAGAAGTTGACTTATGTCAACTTTTGGAGTGTTCCCTATACAAATCCCAATTTTTTTTATATGGGAAAATTACAAAAGTTAACTTCAGTTAATTTCCAACAAAGATTCCTTTACGGACTTTGAGTGCATCAAAAATTTTTGTAAACAAAGATTTTAGCCCGTTCAAATATCTGTAGCCAGAATTGGGAGAGTATTTTTATCTTTTTTATTGGTAAAGCTATTGCAGAGTGACAAGGCTAACAACATCACATTAACCAAGATTGCAACCATAATTTATTACCGTTATCATTTTACAGGGGGATCTATTAGGAACAAAATAGAACATAAAATGTATTGGCCTCCTTCTCTTTTTTTAAAAAAAAACGTAAGCAAGCGTCGCAAGCCGCTGTTAGCAAGAGCGACGACGCTACTTGTTGGTGAGAATCAGCCGTATGTAGCGATATCACACGTTTACAAGCATTTGTTGCCAGGGGTATGGTGTGCACTAGAGACCCAGCTCTTGGCACGGGGCTCCAAGAAACACGATGGCCTCTCAGAGGAGGACACGGACAAGAGGATCACATTGCGTAAACTGGAGGTCATCCTGACGGTTAACAAAATGCCTTAAGTTTTAAGCCAATCAGATGAAGTCCCTTTCCACCCCGACACATATCCTTAAGGTCAAAACTTAAGGCAAATGAGGTTATCGTGAATCTCCTTGTCGTCTCTAACCTTGATCCCCTGTACCTATGCTCTCGTGGCTCGTGGCTGCTTCAACGCTGCCGCTGCACCAGTGACTCGAATGCAATATCTGCAGTATCGTGGACTTCCTGTAATCTCTCTTGTAGCCCTATCCCTAACTGTATAACCCCAACCCCCTATCTAACTGAAATTCGAACTTCAAATACGGCAATATGGTCTCGAAATGGTGATCCTGGAGACGTGTACGCTTATCTTTGGGAAGGGTTATGAGGAAGTTGCAATTGCCCGCATACTCCGCAAAGAATCTACGCAAAATGGAGAAAGCATTATTGAAATAAGTATGGTTAGATTCTTAATCATGGTTGCTTTTAGGGGTCTCGATGATACAAACCAATATACGCTCGACGGAACATTGACGTCGAGAGACCAGAGTTGGCTTATCCCGTGAGTATTATGGCAAATATATCACGGAACGTCTTGGCTATTATTGATTCACAATGAAACATCTAGAACAACCGATACTTCAGTATCTATTGGGGAAGGCTATAGACATCCGAAGCTTAAGTCTAGGATACGCTGGGGAAAGACAGAATCATTTTCGCTTTTAGTTCTACGTATTTATAACTACGTGCTAAGTCAAAGGGACTCAGGGAAAGTGAATCACCATCCACGGCAGTGTGCTTCATTTATCATCAAATTCATCTTTATAATCAGTAAGGTAAGTGTACCTTAGGTACTTAATGGGGCTGGAACCGTCATGATCAACCTACACAATCTATATCAACACCATTTCCTTCCATTCCATCTGAGTCAAACAACGGTTACACTCGGTATTCATTCTCTGGTTCATAGAGTCATAAACATGAGGTAGGTATCTATCCACATAGGCTACATTCTTTTGTCAAGTACACTCAACTAACGAGACAACGTGAGACTCTGTACGCAGGTAGAGTTTCACACAGGGTTATATAAACTTCTCGATAGCCTCCTCCAGTTTTAACTTCCCTTCGACATCTAGACGACTTTTATTTTTACCTACTGACCACACAAGTCAAATTCTCACACACAGCAACCACAGAAAGAACCGCAACAACAATCCCGAGATGTCCTCTAACGACAATGATTCCGATAATGCCTTAGACGTTGCTATAAACTACCTAATCGTAAGAAGCCCAACACCGATGGCTAAGAAGTCAGACGAGCGTTTCAGTGGCGGTAACACGGAGGGCCAGAATGGCAGCGCAGAAGATCCGCCTGGCAGAGAAGGTTCTACAACTATCAGATGGGCTGACCCAATTGCAACAGAGATTCCGAACCCACCTCTTAAGAGCGATGAGTCGAAGTAAGAATAGACATTTTATAGAGGTGCAATAGAAATACTGTTTTTTCTTGATAGAAAAATAATTACTCCTAAAGAGTATGTTGATACTTTAACATGTTCCTCACCTCGGGTTCTCGTGGTCCACCACACGATGGGTCTCTCGGTTTCCTATCACAGGTCCCATAGCTCAGCTGGTTAGAGCGTCGTACTAATACCATCGTATTCCAACGGTCATATTAAGTAAATGCGAAGGCCGGCGGTTCGAGCCCGCCTGGGACCATTCTTCCTCTTTTCTTTTTTTTTTTCCCCCTTCCAAAATTTTTTTTTTTTTTTTTTTTTTAGTCGAGTCGACCGCACTAAATACCGCATACATGCATGCATCATCATTAGTGGTGTTCTAATTTGAGGCTCAAGCAGTGGATATCACTAGTTAAAGCTTACTTATTATGCCAAGTTATGTGTGGCTAGTGTGTGGCTATGCTACATATCATCACTCTGTCCTCTGTGGCTTTGATGAAGAGCACATTACCTTAGGTATTGTTACATAAGCATATGCAAATGTTATTACTTGGGATCTCAGGGTATAGCCCCACATTTAGAAGCGTTACTCAATCAACATCGTTTACTACCATACAGTTATTACAGTGTGTATGATCGTAGCGTCATCTTTTATCAATCAACAATTTTTCTTGTGGACAATCTGTAGACTGAGTATTACAATCTACATAATCCGAACATCGTCATCATCATTAACGGACATTTCTAAGTTGAAAAGCGATAGTCACGTGCAAAGTGGATAGGTTGTGCGGTTATAATTACTATAAGTTGAAGTTTTTGGAATATCCCGGGGGTATCGACGTGATATCAACCCATCTGGGTGAGATTCCGGGGGATAAATCTTTCCGACTTGGCCATGTTTGCCGCAATCCAGTGTCCCTGGCATTAGGTTTCGGACACTTTGGGCGACTCTTTAGGCGCGGTCAACAAAGACAGTTTGGTCATATTACGTCTACGTAGTTTAAGATAGAATGTGAGTAAATGTAAAAAGTCCGACGGTTACATAACACAGTTATTATATATAACTAGATGCCTTCCTAGCATACTTAGAACATGATTCTTGATGAGAACTCTAGAACACACGCCCGAAAACTAAACAGTAAATTCGTCCTATAACTTACCTCAACATGTCCAAACCTACTGTATTAATCGTCGGTGGTTCATTTGCGCCCGCCGAGGTATACGATGATATCGTCGACGCCGTTAAAGCGAAGGGTTATGATATCAAGGCTCTGCCTTACCCGAGCGTCCGCTTAAGGGGCGAGCCAAAACCAGAGAAGTTGCCAACCATGTATGACGATGCTGCTTTCGTTGCTAACGAGATATCGAAACTCGCGGACGAGGGGAAAGAAGGTGAGAATCATAGAATACCTAAAAAAGCCTTGGCTTGTACTTAGCTATATCTAGGTTAGGCATTTGGGTTAGGGTTAACATCAAAGAATAAATGCTGACATTAAATGCTATCCGTAGTCGTCCTAATTGCCCACTCTTACGGAGGTGTTCCAGCTACCGAGAGCACCAAGGGACTCACGAAGAAAGAGAGACAGAGTCAAGGGAAACCGGGCGGAGTCGTCAGACTTGCATACATGACGGCATTAGTAGCGCCTGTGGGACGCTCTGCTCAGAGTCTTTTAGGAGAGATACCGAGCGAAAACCGCGTCGAGTTTAGGACTAATGTAAGTCCCTATTCCGTATCCTGAATACAGGCATACACGCATACATATACAATTCTCTGCTGTTTGCGCATACGCCGTCTAACATAATACCTTCATACTAGGAGCAAGGCTGGATGGACTATGTCGACATAAGCGCGGCAGCCCCATTGATAGTTTCAGACCTTCCCGACGCTAAAGAAAGAGAAGCTTTGGTCGCAAGACTTCAAACTCAGTCGTCTGCCAGCTTTGCTTCCGAATTGACTCATGCAGGCTACAAGGGCGTCCCGGTATCGTACTTGCTCTGCGAAGAAGATGCCCTTCTTCTCCCGAGGTACCAGAGGGGGTGGATCGAGTTCATTGAAAAGGAGTCCGGGAACAAAGTCGACGTCACGACTCTACGGGCTGGTCACTGCCCTAATTTCACCAAACCGCGGGAAACTATCGACTGGATTGTGAGTGTGGCGGAAAGGGGGGGAAACTAGTATACATTAACGCATTTTAAACCAACTTGGGCTATTGGTTTGCTGTCCATATTGACTTGCTAGTATAATAGCTACATCACATATTGATAATTAAATACATTAGGTACAGAATTCTTTATATGGTTATTACTTCCACCTCATCGTCGTTTAAGTTATCAATTAAGTAGGTAGGCCGTGTTCTACAATATGTTAAACCACTGGTTAAACACATTGTCAGGATCGTATTTCTTCTTGATATCCCGCAGTCTAGCAAGACTATCGCCATATACCACATCGAGATCTTCGTCGCCGTTGCCAAAGTTAACATAACTAAGTTAAAGTCAGTAAACTCCACAGTAAACAAGCAAACAGCAAAGAGGGGGGGGGGTTAAAACACGCACGTCTGGGGCCGCGACAAGCCGCTCGTAGACCGTAATAAGTCGCGCGCCGTATTCCCGAACTCCGCCGCCTGCGCATCCAAGGACGAGTCGTTGTACCAGGGGATAGCGAAAGCGTTGAAGTTGACGTTTCGGTTCGGGAAGGCCGACGAGCTGGAAGCCACCGACCGCGCCTTTGTCAGGGAATACGCCTCGAGGAGCACGCCGCTGTTCGCCGCCCCGGGCAGCTTCTGGAACGCGACGTACGCGTCCCAGATCCCGCGCCACGTGGCGGGCACCATGTTCTGGAAACCCGCGGCCCAGCCGGGCTTGAACGAACCGCGGGTGCATAGCGCGTTCGATGCTTCGTTCCAGCGGTTGTACGGTTTGACGCTAGTGGAGTCTGCGAGGGGACCGATGGTGTAGAGACCGCTGAAGGCAGTTTTTCCGGTTGTCGCGTCGCCGCCGTATAAGAAGGGCGCCGCGATTACGGTTGGGTTACCGGTAGTCGGGTCCGCGAGTAGATACAAAAAGATGACCATATCCGGAGCAAGGACGAGGTCTTGGATGGCCTGTACGACGTCTTCTAGCTGGTCCTCGCTATACACCAAGTTCCCTGTCCAGGCCTGCATGGCCTCCTCCGAGGCAGGATACGACTTTACAGTAACGGAGGTGACGATGCCGAAATTGGGCCCGGCGCCTCGGAGGGCCCAGAAAAGATCCGGGTCCGAGGTAGCTGTCACGTTGCGGAGCAGACCGTCGGCGGTGACGACACGAAGCGAGAGAATGTTATCGACCCCGAAGGAGTATTTCCCCAAGAGGTTGCCGTAGCCGCCGCCGAGCAAAGCACCGAGCGTGCCGACACAATTGCAGTTCCCCGTCAGGACCAGGGCTCCGGCGGCGTAAGCATGTTCGATAGTGTTGCTGACGTTGGAGCCCCCGCCGATGGTAGCTTGGGTCTTGTCGGCGTTGAATGTGACTTCGTTTAGACCGGCTAGGTTGATGATTACACCAGTTTTGTCCAAGTGGAAGGTCGTGGCCCATCCATTACCCCCATTTTGAGCTAGGAAGGGTATGTTACGTTCTGTGCAATACTTGACCTATATGCCCGTATGATAGTGTCAGCGTGTATAAGCGTATCTTCTAGTTGTAAAATCTGACATTGTGCTTGGGATAATAGAGCGGGAGCAAGGAATTGTGCATACCGTAGCTACAACGTCGGACTCTGTCGCAACGTTGACAACAGCACCCGGGTCTGGCGCTTCAAAGTCGCTCCAACGTGACGGTGCTGTCGTGGATATGAGGTTCTCGCTCGCCAGATGAGGTGATAATTCGGCGCGCAAGCGTTGAACAAGTGAGTTGCAGTTAGCGCCCGCAAGGACTAACGGCAACCCGTTCAAGAAACCACATAAGGGATGAGTAGAGAGCTTCATGGTTTTCTTTGGTAGTTAGGAGATGTAGAAGCTTCGAAGGAATGTCGCTTTAAAGTATGCCTGATGGTATTTGCCTGATAATATGTGTTGGCGGATGGTACATAATCTTACGTGTAACGGTTGGTTACCTATAGGTTGGTAAATTGTGCATACTGCAAGGTGCAAGGTGCAAGGGACCGCCACATCACTAGCTCGTATAACGACTACACTGTACTAAAACGGCGGACGAGTATACTAAATATAATAAATCGAATAGACCACCTAACCTAATGCGGGCCCGTAAGCTGTGGACATAATGAGTTATAAGTGATCAAATGTAGCTGAGATGAGCCGGTGTTGGAAGAATAAGCAATAATATCAGCTAAGCTCCACGCTGTTTTTAATAAGACACAAAGAGAATTACAAATATTAACTACACGATCTATACGTTCTAGCCAAACTAGAGTTTGCCGCTAATATGGTAATACAAAAAACGTCTTCATCAAAGGCTTTTCAGCCCCATTTGCCCCCCTTACCCCCTAGCTCCCTTGCTTCCCAGATTTGTCATACTCGATCTACAACTTTCTTTGAGCTAGTATTATATACCATTATATACCTGAAAGGTAACGTAGACCTATGCTAAGTTATTACTTAATTCAAATCCTACAACTGATTTGTCTTGTCTCTATGGCTATTTTATGATACCCTACATCTAACGTAGCCCGAACCCAATGCAAACAAAACCACCAAAAGGAAAAAAGAAAAAGAAAAAACAAGTTGAACAAATCAAGTCAAGTAGGCTAGAAGTCAGATCCGGGAATTTCGACCGGGGAAATACGGATCTTCGTCTTTCCCAAGATCTGTGATTGGATGTAATGGTATGGAATTGCTGCCTGCTTCTGCAAAGTATTTACTTGAGTGATGCGATGCTTCTGGATCGGTGATCTTGGCATAACTGGTTGATGTCGTTTGCGTCTTCGTCGAGGCGGGAGGAAAGAAGAAAACTAACACCGGTTTCAGCGTTGGAAGACAGGCAGATACCACTGCAATGGACAGTTCGATGTTGGCCCAGAAGAAGACAGGCGATGTGAGGTCTAATTATAGAGGTGGTTCAGCAATCGTACGTTGCACTATGGTCTCATTGGCTCAGTACGTACATGTCATATCATAGGTATAGATACGATATAGTGAATTCACTTCCAGTGACTGGATGAGCCGAGCAATGCTGACAGCAACAACACTAGGTAAAATGACTTATTAGCAACTGGTCTTCTTCGGTATATTACTAGGTTGAAACTCACATGGCACCCAGCAGGAA